CTTTTGACCAGGGCAAGGCTGTGCTATATAGGGAATAGGGTGCTGTTTGGAAGGTAGGCAAATATTGGTCTGGCTTTTGAAAAACTTCATGCAAACATGTTTAGTGCATTGGAAGTCAACAGAGATGACATCAAATAAAATTGTATTTGTCACATGCGTTGAATACAACAGGTGTAGACCTTGTAATGAAATGCTTACTTACAAACTCTTTCAGAGATTACATCACACACATACACACAACACACACACACACACACACACACACACACACACACACACACACACACACACACACACACACACTCTCAGGTGAATCAAGTGCCATAACCACTCCAACCCAGTAAGTGGCGCACTGAACCAGTTCTTGTGCCAAAGAGGGGAAAGAGGTCATGTGTTTGTCCCGTGATCAAATGCGGAAGTGTTGAAATAACGGTCGCGACTACAGCCCACCGTCTGTCAATTTCATATACATTTTTGCTGTTTTATTTGTTGTATTTCTCACAGAAATGGAAGGATTCGCCAAAACATCACTTAGCACCACGTATGCTGGAGGCCCGGATTTTAGAGGGTAAGAGAATGCTAATTATTCTGTCGTCGTGTTAGCTGACGTTACTAACAGTAACTAGCTAGTTAGTTAACGTAAGCCCATTAACTAGATAGCTAGCTAGCTAGGCGCTTTAGCCAGCATGTCTTTGATGTCTAATGCAGTGATTCTCAACTGGGGTGTCGTGGGAGGATTTTAAGGGGTCGCGGGACTTGTGCAAGAAAATATATATAAACCATTTTCTTTTTTAAAAATACATTATTTTGAAAGGATGCCTCCGCACCGAAACCTTTATTTTGAAAGGATGCCTCCGCACCGAAACCTTTATTTTGAAAGGATGCCTCCGCACCGAAACCTTTATTTTGAAAGGATGCCTCCGCACCGCTTATTGTTGTTGACTTTACACGTGCAGCGAGTCCACGGTGGTGAAATGGCTACGTTCGGCCTCGGAGGGTTTTCGCGTTGCACTGATCCAATGAAATGACAGATTTCTCTTCACACACGATGATCCAATAAAAATGTCATTCTGCAACATTGTTTTGTTGTAAATGTGACACGTCCAATCAAATAATACAGATATTCTTCTGCCAGCTAGCTTGATTGACAGCTAACTACGCAGATATGTTCTGCAGGCATTGCACATGTGGATAGTTAGCTGTCATTTAACTCATGTCGGCTAGCTGTCAGAGTAAAATCATGGACACGTTTTTAAAACGTGCAGCTCCCTCTTCATCCACTGCTGCTTCCAATGTCAACAACAAGGCAGACAACCCGGTCCCTGTAAGAAGAGGAAATACCACCCCGACTTCATCAAATATGGTCTTACATACACTGCTCAAAAAAATACAGGGAACACTTAAACAACACAATGTAACTCCAAGTCAATCACACTTCTGCGAAATCAAACTGTCCACTTAGGAAGCAACACTGATTGACAATACATTTCACATGCTGTTGTGCAAATGGAATAGACAACAGGTGGAAATTATAGGCAATTAGCAAGACACCCCCCAATAAAGGACTGGTTTTGTAGGTGGTGACCACAGACCACTTCTCAGTTCCTATGCTTCCTGGCTGATGTTTTGGTCACTTTTGAATGCTGGCAGTGCTTTCACTCTAGTGGTAGCATGAGACGGAGTCTACAACCCACACAAGTGGCTCAGGTAGTGCAGCTCATCCAGGATGGCACATCAATGCGAGCTGTGGCAAGAAGGTTTGCTGTGTCTGTCAGCGTAGTGTCCAGAGCATGGAGGCGCTACCAGGAGACAGGCCAGTACATCAGGAGACGTGGAGGAGGCCGTAGGAGGGCAACAACCCAGCAGCAGGACTGCTACCTCCGCCTTTGTGCAAGGAGGAGCACTGCCAGAGCCCTGCAAAATGACCTCCAGCAGGCCACAAATGTGCACGTGTCTGCTCAAACGGTCAGAAAAAGACTCTATGAGGGCCCGACGTCCACAGGTGGGGGTTGTGCTTACAGCCCAACACCGTGCAGGACGTTTTGGCATTTGCCAGAGAACACCAAGATTGGCAAATTCGCCACTGGCGCCCTGTGCTCTTCACAGATGAAAGCAGGTTCACACTGAGCACATGTGACAGAGTCTGGAAACGCCATGGAGAACGTTCTGCTGCCTGCATTTCTTTGGGGGGCCGCACAGCCCTCCATGTGCTCGCCAGAGGTAGCCTGACTGCCATTAGGTACCGAGATGAGATCCTCAGACCCCTTGTGAGACCATATGCTGGTGCGGTTGGCCCTGGGTTCCTCCTAATGCAAGACAATGCTAGACCTCATGTGGCTGGAGTGTGTCAGCAGTTCCTGCAAGAGGAAGGCATTGATGCTATGGACTGGCCCGCCCGTTCCCCAGACCTGAATCCAATTGAGCACATCTGGGACATCATGTCTCGCTCCATCCACCAACGCCACGTTGCACCACAGACTGTCCAGGAGTTGGCGGATGCTTTAGTCCAGGTCTGGGAGGAGATCCCTCAGGAGACCATCCGCCACCTCATCAGGAGCATGCCCAGGCGTTGTAGGGAGGTCATACAGGCACGTGGAGGCCACACACACTACTGAGCCTCATTTTGACTTGTTTTAAGGACATTACATCAAAGTTGGATCAGCCTGTAGTGTGGTTTTCCACTTTAATTTTGAGGGTGACTCCAAATCCAGACCTCCATGGGGTTGATAAATTTGATTTCCATTGATAATTTTTGTGTGATTTTTGTTGTCAGCACATTCAACTATGTAAAGAAAAAAGTATTTAATAAGATTATTTCATTCATTCAGATCTAGGATGTGTTATTTTAGTGTTCCCTTTATTTTTTTGAGCAGTGTATATATGGTACAGGCAGGGTGAGTGTAGACCGCAGTGCGTCCTATGCAACGAGCTGTTAGCTAATGAGAGCATGAAACCATCCTAAATGAAAAGGCATCAGCTTTGCTTTATCTTGGCCAGGTCGCAGTTGGAAATGAGAACTTGTTCTCAACTGGCTGGTTAGTGTTACCAACTGGCTTACCTGGTTAAATAAAGGTGAAAAAAAAGAAAAAATCAGGACACCAAGCATCCAAGACACAAAGATAAGACAGCTGACTTAAAAAAAAAAAATGTAAATATCTGGAGGCCTCACAAGATTCCTTGAAGGTATGCACGGTACAATAAAAGTCTCTTTGCGCATCACACCTTGTAGCCCAGCGCATTGCTAAGTCCAAAAAGATCCCACACCTGCTGCGGTTGATATGTGCACTGAAATCTTGGGGGAGTCAGCCGCCAACAAACTTAAAATCATACCCCTATCCAATGACACCATGAGGAGGAGAATCAGAGGACGTAACGCGCAAATGGCCACTACGCACGACAGCTTGATGAATCCACAGATGTGGCTAACCATGCAATTCGAAATGGTCTTTGTCAGACACGTCTGGGATAACTTCGAGGAGCAGTTCCATTTTAGTGCTGATTTGTCCACCACTGCAGAGGCTGTCTTTAACACGATGGATATGTACCTGGGCTCCGTGGGACTGGCCTGGGATGGGTGCGTCGGTGTGTCCACTGATGGGGCAGCTGCCATGACGGGAAAGCACTCCCGAGTAGTAAAGCGGGTCCCGGAGAGAGCACCGAGTGCGACGTGGAACCACTGCTTCCTACACAGGGAGGCAGCGATGGACATGGTGCCTGAGCTCCACGCCACTCTCCGGGATGTGATCAAGTGTGTCAACTAATATCAAAAAGAGTTCCACGAAAAGCAGGTGTTTCCAGGCCTTCTGCAGGGATATGGGGAGCGAACACCAGCAGGTGCTTTATCATGCAGAGGTCCGCTGGCTTTCAGGGGTAAAGTGTTGGGTCACCTTTTTATGAGCTTCGAGCAGAGATTGCTGCGTTTCTTTCAGAAAACAAGTCACCTCTGGCCCGAACATTTCAATTGTGAGGAATGGCAGGTTGCCTACCTAGCAGATATTGTTGATAATCTGAATTCGCTCAATGTGTCAATGCAAGGGAGGGGGCACCACAAAGCGCACGGAAACACACTGAAAAATCCCCATTAAACAGCATCATGTCAAGCTGCATGGAATGTTTTGCCACTACTTCCTGGAGGAGAACAGGAGACGAGACGACTGGATACGGGAGATGGGAAGCATCATGTTGCTAAGCAACGAAGAGGATCAACTGGTGGAGCTGTCATGTGATCGCTGACGGAGCATGCGCAACGAAGAGGATCAACTGGTGGAGCTGTCATGTGATCGCTGAGTGAGCATTCGCTTCCCGGAAGTGACACTGCCACAGTTCTGGTGCAGTGTAGTGGGAGAGTATCCTGAGTTACTGTTCACTATGTTAATAATAATAATAATAATTATTATTATTATTGGTAATTAATTCTGACATTTAATATTACATTTTATTGAACTGGATAACAACTAAGACCTTTAAAAAAAACGTCAAGGTTGTGAAACTATTCACATGGTAATTGATGATTTAAGAATTGCTAATGATATATATATATTTTTTTCTATTTTGCTCATGTTACACCTGAACTGGTCGCCTAATTAAATGGCTTATTCTCTTCAATTGACAATATATGTTTTCTCAGTTAATATGGCTGTGTAATGACTTTCTTTAATACCATAATAGTAGCCCATTGAGACAGTCTATTTTGCAAGTGAAGCCTGCCCAAGTAGGCAGCTGCAATACAACATTACAAAATGTAATCATCAACCGTCCATAATACTGGGTCGCGACTCAATTGTCATTGTCAAATTTGGGTCCCCAGGTAAAACCAGTTGTGAACCACTGATCTAAGGTATTTTAGCTAGCTCTATCAACATGTATTATTTTCCATAGCTAACAGTGGGTCTATGCATTCAATAATATCAAACGCATGCTGTTCACGTAATGTACTCACCCAGAACCACCACCCAGAACCACCACCACCCAGAGCCACCACCCAGAGCCACCACCCAGACATGATGTGATGTTGTATATTGTCTGTCCTGCAGGAATGACAGTTCTCTGGTCTCTGCTCTGAAGACTCTCCTCTTCTTCACCATCCTGATGGTCACTCTGCCCATAGGACTGTACTTCGCATCAAAGGCATACATCTTTGAAGGTAAATCAGTATTTATTGTCTGAGGCCTAAAATATCCCAATCAAAGGCCAAATTTATTTATTTATATTTATTCTCCCCCTCCACCCCTCTCCTTTCATCCTCCTCCTCTCTCCTCTCCACCCCCCCCCCCCCCCCCCCCTCTCTCCTCCTCTCCACCCCCCCCGCCCCCCCTTTCTCCTCCTCCTCCCCTCTTGCTCTCCTCCTCTCTCCAGGTTCCCTACAGATGTCTAACTCAGACAGTTATTTTTATGCTGCCATCGTAGCTGTGCTGGCCGTACATGTGGTTCTGGCCCTGTTTGTCTACGTGGCCTGGAACGAGGGCTCCACCAAGGGCAAGGGAAAACACGACTAACCCTAACCTGGTCCTGCTGCTGGCCCAGAGAAAATCATGAACCAAGAGATGGAGGCCCAACCACCTCCAGCCCCCACCCCACCCGGCTTCTCTCCAACCCCCACCCCAGCCCAGCCATGGAGGGGTGCAGACCGAGTCCATCTGCTGGTGTTGAGAGATAATAATATACTGGGTGTTTTTGTGAGCTTTTGCTAGCTCAGTGTATTATTTTTTTAACAGACTGAACACCGCCCCTGTCTGTTAGAGGTTGTGTCATAAACTGGACCCGGCCAGAGACGCGCTGTGAAATGGAGAGCTGTGTCCAACCCTATTCCCTGTTTAAGGCCCGGAAGGCTCTGGTCAAAACTAGTGCATTATACAGAGAATAAGGTGCCATTTTGTTTTCTGTTCTGTGTGACCAACGTCATGTTGACATCATGTTGCCACTGCTGTTGTGGTTTGGATCTGTCCTTCCTTGAGTTGACTCTATTTATTTTTTCATTAAAGAATGTGTTTTTGTGTGACTGTCTGTAGATGTTTATTTTTGGTTCTAATTTGATGTCTTAGATCTGTATTATTATAGTCAGAGGAGCATTTCAAGTCCACAGTGTTTCTGTTATGATGAAATATTACATCTATCAAATTATCCATGGCCATACTTTGATAAACTGTAGAAACATAAGATTGAATTTTTAAAAAATTACTCATTTAGCAGATGCTCCTATCCAGATGAACTTACAGTAGTGGGCTGCATACATTTTATTTCTCATACTGGTCCCCAATGGGAATCAAACCCACAACTCCGGCATTGCAAGCACCATGCTCTACCAATTGAGCCACAGGACATATGTATGATGTCTGTATGATTTTTAAACCACCATGCAGAACAACTCATCCTGAAAGAGTTACACCAACTCTCATCATCAAATAGTTGACGTCCCTGTCAGCTCAGTGTTTTGACTGTAGTGTCTTGGCCCACCTGGTGGGCCATTGGACTTCTCATCCATATCATGAATCACCAATAAAACTATTTTATAAATAGTTCCAACTAGGGGTGTGAACATTTAAATGTTTAAACGACATTGGGATTGTTAATGTTTAGAAAAAAATCCCAAACCTAATTTTTTCCGAAATTAAAATCACAGTGCAGTTATCACAATTACCGCTAACAGGTCCCGATCATCATTATAAAGGGAAACATTTACATTAAACAAACACCTAACGCAACAATGCTGTAATGTTAGTCATCCATGATTCACCAAACAATATATTGAAAGAGGAAGCAAAGTACTTTAAGCATACGAAGTAGATGATCGTGGACTTCAGGAAACAGCAGAGGGAGCACACCCCCCTATCCACATCGACGGGACCGCAGTGGAGAAGGTGAAAAGCTTCAAGTTCCTCTGCGTACACATCACTGACGATCTGAAATGGTCCACCCACACAGACAGTGTGGTGAAGAAGGTGCAACACATTTTAGTCATTTAGCAGACGCTCTTATCCAGAGCGACTTACATGAGCAATTAGGGTTAAGTGCCTTGCTCAAGGGCACATCGACAGATTTTTCACCTAGTCGGCTCGGGGATTAGAACCAGCGACCTTTCGGTTACTGGCACAACGCTCTTAACCACTAAGCTACCTGCCGCCCCAACAGCGCCTCTTCAACCTCTGGACACTGAAAAAAATGTGATTTGTCCCCTAAGACACATACAAAATTTTAACAGATGCACCATTGAGAGCATCCTGTCGGGCTGCATCACCGCCTGGTACGGCAACTGCACCGCCCGCAACCGCAGGGCTCTCCAGAGGGTGGTGTGGTCTGCCCAACACATCCCCAGGGGCAAACTACCTGCCCTCCAGGACACCTACAGCACCCGGTGTCACAGGAAGGCCAAGAAGATCATCAAGGACCTCAGCCACCCGGTGTCACAGGAAGGTCAAGAAGATCATCAGGGACCTCAGCCACCCGAGCGACTGCCTGTTCACCCTGCTATCATCCAGAAGGCGAGGTCAGTACAGGTGCATCAAAGCTGGGACCGAGAGACTGAAAAACAATACATATACAGTGGGGGAAAAAAGTATTTAGTCAGCCACCAAATGGGCAAGTTCTCCCACTTAAAAAGATGAGAGAGGCCTGTAATTTTCATCATAGGTACACGTCAACTATGACAGACAAAATGAGGGAAAAAAATCCAGAAAATCACATTGTAGGATTTTTAATGAATTTATTTGCAAATTATGGTGGAAAATAAGTATTTGGTCAATAACAAAAGTTTCTCAATACTTTGTTATATACCCTTTGTTGGCAATGACACAGGTCAAACGTTTTCTGTAAGTCTTCACAAGGTTTTCATACACTGTTGCTGGTATTTTGGCCCATTCCTCCATGCAGATCTCCTCTAGAGCAGTGATGTTTTGGGGCTGTCGCATAGATTTTCTATGGGGTTGAGATCTGGAGACTGGCTAGGCCACTCCAGGACCTTGAAATGCTTCTTACGAAGCCACTCCTTCGTTGCCCGGGCGGTGTGTTTGGGATCATTGTCATGCTGAAAGACCCAGCCACGTTTCATCTTCAATGCCCTTGCTGATGGAAGGAGGTTTTCACTCAAAATCTCACGATACATGGCCCCATTCATTCTTTCCTTTACACGGATCAGTCGTCCTGGTCCCTTTGCAGAAAAACAGCCCCAAAGCATGATGTTTCCACCCCCATGCTTCACAGTAGGTATGGTGTTCTTTGGATGCAACTCAGCATTCTTTGTCCTCCAAACACGACGAGTTGAGTTTTTACCAAAAAGTTATATTTTGGTTTCATCTGACCATATGACATTCTCCCAATCCTCTTCTGGATCATCCAAATGCACTCTAGCAAACTTCAGACGGGCCTGGACATGTACTGGCACTGCAGGATTTGAGTCCCTGGCGGCGTAGTGTGTTACTGATGGTAGGCTTTGTTACTTTGGTCCCAGCTCTCTGCAGGTCATTCACTAGGTCCCCCCGTGTGGTTCTGGGATTTTTGCTCACCATTCTTGAGATCATTTTGACTCCACGGGGTGATATCTTGCGTGGAGCCCCAGATCGAGGGAGATTATCAGTGGTCTTGTATGTCTTCCATTTCCTAATAATTGCTCCCACAGTTGATTTCTTCAAACCAAGCTGCTTACCTATTGCAGATTCAGTCTTCCCAGCCTGGTGCAGGTCTACAATTTTGTTTCTGGTGTCCTTTGACAGCTCTTTGGTCTTGGCCATAGTGGAGTTTGGAGTGTGACTGTTTGAGGTTGTGGACAGGTGTCTTTTATACTGATAACAAGTTCAAACAGGTGCCATTAATACAGGTAACAAGTGGAGGACAGAGGAGCCTCTTAAAGAAGGAGTTACAGGTCTGTGAGAGCCAGAAATCTTGCTTGTTTGTAGGTGACCAAATACTTATTTTCCACCATAATTTGCAAATAAATTCATTAAAAATCCTACAATGTGATTTTCTGGATTTTATTTCTCAATTTGTCTGTCATAGTTGACGTGTACCTATGATGAAAATTACAGGCCTCTCTCATCTTTTTAAGTGGGAGAACTTGCACAATTGGTGGCTGACTAAATCCTTTTTTTCCCCACTGTATATAGAAAGTTAGCAAAAATAGTTAAGGTCTTGCTACCATGGAAAGGAAAATACACCCTGATTAATGATTTAGTCATATTCCAGTTTACCTATTTACTTACGGCCCTGCTTACACCGAACAACTAGTTTTTTTTAAATTATATGTGCAAAAAATATTCCACTTTATTTGGAATGGCAAGCCAGACAAAATTACATGGGCCTATTTATATAATGAATGTGAATTTGGAGGGCTGAAATTATTAAATATTAAAGCATTAGACCTCTCACTAAAAGCTTCAGTCATACAAAAGCTATACTTAAATCCGACTGGTTCTCTAGCAAATTAGTAAGAATGTCTCACCCCATGTTCAAGAACGGCCCTTTTCCCTTTATTCAGATTACAACCTCTCACTTTAGGTTATTTGAAAATGAAATAATCTGCAGAATATTGCTTTTTTTTTAGCTATAGAAAGCTGGTTGCAATTTCAGTTTAATCCACCAGAAAAGACAGAACAAACATTTTAATAAATATTATGGTTAAACTCAAATATACTAATTGATCAAAAAAACATACTTTTTGGAAAAAATGATTTTAAAATGGTATAATCTATGTTGATGATATCATAAACATGACTGGTGGAGTCATGTCATACATGCAGCTAAGAAAAATATATGGAAATGTCTGCTCTAACCAGAATTACAACCAACTGATTGCAGCATTACCGCAAAAATGGAGGAGGGAAGGGGGAGAAGGTAAGGAACTGGTCTGTCGGCCGCATTAAAGACCATAATTGGTTAAAGAAAATGGTGATAAATAAAAAAGTATATCAGTTTCATTTAAGGACCAAAAAATTGACAGCTGCGCCATACAGGTTACAAAATATTTGGGAAGAGATATTCGATGTGCCGATTCCACGGCACATGGTTTATGAACTGATACACAAAACAACGCCGGATTCAAAACGTAGTTTTTCTATTTCAGTTATTATATAATTCTTGTTACCAATAGAATGTTATTTATATGGGGGATACAATCTTCCCAGCTCTGCAGATTGTGCTGCGAAGAGACAGAATCATTAGATCATTTGTTTTGGTACTGTCCATTTGTAGCTTGTTTCTGGACACAGGTCCAGGAATGGCTGAAGCATTGCAATATTTACCTGGAGCTAACCCTGCAGATAGCACTACTGGGTGATCTGAAAAGTCATAGTCAATCGATCGATAATATAATAATACTTTTAGCAAAAATGTTTAATTTCAATTCACAATCTGTAGAAACAATGAGAATAGAAAGGTTCAGAACTTTTGTAAAACATCACAGTACAGTTGAAAAATATATGGCAAATAGAAATCCAATATGGATGGTGTTAAGAGATAGATGGGAGGTGTTGAATGGAGCTGAAGGATGGGACTAATAACAACAACT